CAGTATAAAAACCATTACGCCTATGGGATGTCCCTACAAGGATAGCTGACCAGACATGTGTGAGAGAGAGAGAGAGAGAGAGAGAGAGAGTGAGTGAGTGAGTGAGTGAGTGTTAGTGTTCAACTAATGGGTTAGTGACTTAAAAAAAAAAAAGGATGAGAAATGTATGCGTGTACATATGTATCTACACGTGTATTTTTAATGTAGCCCACATGTGTGTGTGTTATTTATATATTTATTTTTAAAAGAACCTCTTAGAGATCTCATTATTTCATGTATTTTTGAAGAAAAAAAGTATATATATAAGACATTTATTATTTATACATTTATTTTAAAAGATATTCTTAGATATGTATCATAATATTTAAAATATTCTACTTGATCTGTCGATTCAGCATACTGATGTTTGTCTTGTTTTTTAAATAACAAAGGTGATTAATGAACTCATATTCCTTAAAAATCTCATGTTGGAATATTCAAGGACTTAGGTCCTCCATTTTTGGTGTTAAGAGCCAACATTCAGATTTCAAAAGAGAAATTCTGAATTCTGATATTATAATACTAGAAGAAACATGGAATGTAAGAGATTTGTCCACTGGCTGCCCAACTGGGTTTAGAGAAATCATTTTACCATCAACCAAACTAAGAGGGGTGACCCGGTGCTGATATGGTACAGAACAGAACTCAGAGACTCAATCAAATCTATAAAAATCGGAAAATCGTACATTTGGCTAAAAATACAAAAAGATATTGTGTCCACAGACCGTCACATATTCTTGTGTGCCACATACTTACCCCCGGCTGAATCTCCCTATTACAATGAAGAAACCTTTTCTATCCTGCACGACGAGATCTGCCATTTCCAGACAAAAGGAAATGTTTTAATATGTGGCGACTTAAATGCCAGAACTGGAAATGAAGCCGACTTTGTCAACACACAAGGAGACAAATATATTACAAACACCTGCCACTCTCTGCCCTCATATCACCGCAGAAAAAATTATGACCGCTTCACAAACAAAAGTGGGAAAAGCCTACTACAGCTCTGTCAATCACTGGGCCTGTACATAGTGAACGGTCGACTATATTACATATTCATTATATTTTTACTTAACCTGTTCTTCAATATTTAATGTATGTTTGAATAACTAAGAAAAAAATAGTATAAACTGTTTACTTTTGAATAACTAAGAAAATTGAACTATTAAAAACATAAAAACGTTTTTGACTGATCTGAAATAAATTAAAACAAATATGAGAGGAATGACTTAAATTAAACCAAAATTAGACATGTTATTAAAACAAAACAAATAATGACATCCACTATTTAAATGCTGGCATTTCAACAACAAACTGGAGTAGAAAGATAATTATACAATTAAAGTTATTATAATAAATTTGTATTATGTGTGTGTGTGTGTGTGTATCAGGCACGTGCACAGGTAGGGCTCAACCTGTGCAGAGCACATGCCCTTTTTGCCCTAAAGATATTTTTCTTCAAACGTAATTTTATTGAAATGTATGTGTGCAAAGCAGAGAAAAATTGAATTGTGTGTATATATACAGTATATATATATATATATATATATATATATATATATATCTTCAAAATACTATTAGGATATTAAGTAAAGATCATGTTCCATGAAGATATTTTGTAAATGTCCTACCGTAAGTATATCAAAACTTATTTTTTGATTAGTAATATGCATTGCTAAAAACTTAATTTGAACAGCTTTAAAGATGATTTTCTCAATATTTTGATTTTTTTTGCACCCTGTATATACTGTATAATATGTATTATATAAAGAAATTATTATAAAAAACTGCCTTATGTGCAGTTTAAATGTTTGCAAATATAATACCAGCTGACAGGGTTTATTGTATAGTTTGCAGCATTAGATTTTTTCCTTTAAATTGACACGAACTATACCTGACTGCTTATATATCCAAATTAATCGATATGGAATTGACTCATGATCGAAACGCAAGCTTGTAAATCAAAAACAAAACGAATTGTGAAATTTGTCTCAATACCCAGCCCTAAATAGCATCATATCAGTGACGCTGTTTAGATGTCATACGTGAACACGGAATTTCAAATGCAATATCCACTGTTTTTTTTCCCCCAGGTACACCTTGCATGTCTTGAGGGGAACGCTGGCGCCCTCCCCTCACCTCCGCGCGCGGCAGCTCGAGCGACTCCCCCCGTCCCATCGGGAGCAGCGGATCAGAGAGTGGCGTGGTCTCCGAGACACGTGTATCTCTCCTTCTCCCAGCTCATAAACCACACACACAGCACAGTCCGGCGCGCCACACTTCCTCATGCACCGAGAACGACGATGCCGCAAAACTTGAATATTGCCAACAAACCGAAACCCATATTTTTGTTTTGCACACATGGGTGCCGGTTTGTGCAGTGCTTTCAGATTATTCCCCTGGCCATGGAATAATCTGAAAGCCTTGAAGCCTGTGCGTTTCAATTCCTAGACCCTTTTTGTTCTCATAAAACAGGTTTCCTGCTGCATCTGTGTGTCTGTTATGAACTCGGGTTTACAGTCCACACTTGATCAGTGCATGCGTGTCATTTCTCCACGGCGTGCATGTAATGTGTTCGGTGGATGCAGCTGAGCCTTTTCCCTTCTGTGCAACCTAATTCCTGGTGTCATGTGGACCACATTTGTATGCACTTGCGCTTTGAGCTGCTCAAGTAATAATTGAGGTTTGCAGATGTTACATAATATCTCGGTTCATATATTCAGAGCTTGTTGTGCATGCTGACAGAAATGCAAGCGCCACAGTGAGATTAAGGCGGCTGGATCTTTTTCTTATCAATTCCTAATAAATGCATTGGCCCATAACGCTTGTTGATGTCTGTGTGTGTAATACGCTAAGGTGGATCACACAGTCCTGCGCCGGTTTTTGAATATTTAATTGCACTGCTGACGTCTGGCTGACGTTCTTCACTCATGATGACCTCACGCTCAGACGGATCATAGCTCGCTGATCACGACTCGTTTCCGCATCCTTCCAGCATGTGTGCAACACACACCACAGTCGAGGCTCAGTATGAAAAAGAGTGCCTTGTGTTGATTCTGTTTGCAGAACCCAAGGCGGTTTTATGTAACCATGTCAGCAGCTTTCTGACGGGACGCTTCTGCGATCTAGTGGTGCTCTGATAAACTGCAAACACAACCGTCCATTTAGGGAGAGAGAGAAGACACAAGATGGTTGAAGTCTGAATGTCAGAACAACAGATGCTTTATTAAACCCACATGACTGTGTTTTCAGGCAGACACTTACTGTAAGATTTCTTTAAGGGCAGATACTGCAGGTTGTAAACCGAATTAAACTGTTCAATGAAACGGTACATTAAACATATTTCTAATATATACGCACATTAATGTATTATTTAAAATGCACAGATTCATATATTAAGTGAGATAGATCCCCAAATAAATGCCACTTTTGTGTCAAAAGCTTATTTAAAATAATATCTGATAATACATCTGTACGTAATATGTAAATGTATGTGTTTGTAATACAATTGTACGTATGCAAATGAAAATATTTTTGGGAAAAAAAAAGATGGCCAATAAGAGGGCAAAGAAAAACATTACCATTAGATGCATTATTTAAAAGCTTGGTTTTCTATGTCTATAATGAGATTTAAACACTATAAAAAGTGGAAACCGGCAACTGTTACCATTTTTTGTTTTTATGTGCAATATGATTGATGTTTACAATATGAACAAACTTGATTTAGGAAAATGGCCTTTGAATGATGATATTTAATTCTGAAATAGGTGAATGTGATTAAAAAAAAAAAACATTAAAATATTTTTAATTACAATTTCAACTTTTGTTGGTTATAATTGTGTTTGTTTTTTTTTTTATTTTATACAACAGTGAGACCATTGCAAGTAAATTCAAGAGAAAAACAAATTACCACTTAAAATAACAGACTTACATTCAAAGAAAGAACACAAGTTTGTTACAGCTTTAGTAATGAATGAGTCCTAATATTGACCTCCCTTTGAAATGTAAATAGATACATACTAGCAAACATACAGTAAACACTTTCCAGTGAAGCTGAGCTCGTTTGATGGTTGTTTTGTGAAATACAGTGAAAGACACATTAATTGCACTGGTTTGGTGTTTATAAGACTCAGTACAGCTACATCAAATCCTAGACACGTGAAAGCCCATGATAAAAGATACTTAGAGTATGATCATACTAATAAGAGGACAGTGTAAATGCATATTATGCTTTACATTTTTATGAATCTACAAATAAGCAACAGCACAGCGGGCCAGAATGTTCTGTTCTGTACACAATTGTCATGGAAACATTTGCAATGACAAGAACAAAAAATTGGTAGAAAAGGCATGGTGAAATTAAGAATTTCACAAATGAATTTATAAAATATATATATAGTGTACAAATAAAAGAAGTTATGTGCAAAGTTATTTTCTTGCCAGAGAATGACTGGATTTAATGTAGTGAAATATACTGTATAAATGAATTTTTTTTTATACTATTTCTGTAAAAACGTATTTTTTGGGATTTGTCACAAATTATATAAACCGAGAAAAGTCGTTCTCTTTCACTACAACCAGTAGTTTAACGTATTCTGGTTTAGGGCCAGGCGATATGGCCAAAAATATTATTACAACATTTTTCCACACCAAACGATATTGACATTTATCGCGATATTAATTTATCATTAATGTTAAAGGAAATACTTTCCACATGTTTGTTAGACCTTGAAAAAGAATGTAAACAAAACTCTGAACTCCACAAAGCTACGTTTTAATTTAGGGACCCATGAAATCTGTTTTATTTTCCCATAAATTCTGTTTTCCATTTTATTTTTTTCTGAATTCTGAGTTTTATGATTCAATACAAATGTATCATTAAAACTGGTGTCCAGTGAAATCAAATAATAATAGTTTGATCATGTTTTTAAAATGTAATAAAATGAAATCAATGTACAACAAAACATTGCATTTTTTATATGTCAAGCAAGAACAACACAACTGTATAAATGAATGAAAAAAATGTATTATTATTTTTATTATTATTAATTTGAAAATTACATTTTAGTATACAATAGTAATATATTTCTGTTATAATTTCTTCAAGTTAAACCGGACTTTTATTTTGACGGGTTGTCGTGTAGGTCTTTCAGTTTCAGTGCGTATTTGACGGCAGTTTTTCTCAAATGAAACGGAGTAAAGCTGCTGAAGTGACTCGGAGGAACTCTGGAGATAAAGTGCATGTGTTCATGTCCTGATATAGTGAGACGCAGATGCTGAAAACACCGCAAGTGTCACATGAGTTTTAGTTTGAATCAGACGTAACCGCGCTAGACTTATAGCGGCATGCACTGGTTGCTGTCGCCTTTATTTCTGCTGTTAGATTAATCCATAATTAATAAAAATGTCCATTGATATTGTTTATTGCCAGCACTATTCTGGCATACAAAAGAAATGTTAGGCCCTAAAATACAAGTCCCAGAGGGCCATTATGTGCCAATGAATTTCACATAAAGAACCGGTTTCACGTGTGCACACTTGTGTGGAACTTTAAACACTTTGCATTCAAATCCAATCACAAATCCTGTTTCTACAGCAGCTCCTCCACACTAATGATCCAGATGTGTCGTCAGATGTTCAGTTTCCCATGCTAAATTATAATTACCCCATTCTGTCTAACGGCTGCCGTGCCTGCCAAACACAGACTGCTTGTCTAGTGTGGATATCTAAATGTTTTCATGTATCGGCTGCGTTTCAACCACGTGGGCATCATATCAGGAAACCAAATCCGGCCCAAATGTTTGGAGACCTCGCTGTGGATCTGCTCGATGTTGTAGGTGTTGTCGGGGATGAGCACCTCCTCCATGATTGACAGCTGGCTCAAGCGGCCGTCACACATCTTCACGAACTCCATGAAGCCACTGCAGGTGACCTCGCACTCACCCAGGCCGATGGCAGTCAGGCTCTTGCAGCGCTCAGCGATGCAGATCAGCTCTTCATCCAGCGGCTCCAGCCAGTTGGCGCACACCAGCAGCTCCGTGAGACGTGGACAGTTCAGCCCGATGCGGCCCAGCATGTCTTTACTGACGGCCCGGCCGAAGTACAGGTGCGTGACGGGCGTCTGCTCACGGAAGAAGGGCTCGAACTCCTCCTCGTAAAGGAAGAAGTACATGACGATGTTGACCTGGGGCGAGTGGTGGATGAGGGCGTCCCAGCTGCTCTTCCTGATGGCATGGAATTGCGTTTGGCCCGAGTTCTCGCTCACCACGTCGATGCGCAGGTGCTCCAGGTGGACGTGTTTCTCGGAGGAGAGCACCAGCAGAAGCTCAGCAGGTGGTAGTTCAGAGCCAGTTCGCACAGGCCGTGACACTGATCCGCCACACACAGGATTCCTGTATGAGCGAGAAGCAGCAGAACAAAGGTAGGTGATTACAATACACTTTCTCATTGTGGACACACTTGACAATAGGGGTGTGTGATATTGACAAAAAAAATATGTGACCCTGGACCACAAAACCAGTCATAAGGGTCAATTTTTTGAAATTGAGATTTATACATCATATATAAATAATAAATAAATGATAAGAATAATAATATAAGAATAAATAAGCTTTCCATTGATGTATGGTTTGTTAGGATAGGACAATATTTGATTGATATACAACTATTTGAAAATCTGGAATCTGAGGGTGCAAAAAAATCTAAATATTGAGAAAATCATCTTTAAAGTTGTCCAAATGAAGTAAGAAATCTGCCTTAAGGCCTTCAGAATCAACAGCGCAGGCGTCTGTTAGCTTAAATCAATGGCAATGAAACCGTTGCATTAAAGGGGTCATATGATGCGTTTTCAATTTTTCCTTTCTCTTTGGAGTGTTACAAGCTCTTGGTGCATAAAGAAGATCTGTAAAGTTGCAAAGAC